TTCATTTAGCTGACGCTTTTATCCAAAGCGACTTACAATTGCTATATAAGTAAGAGGTTGCATGCCTCTGGAGAAACTAGAGAACCAAATAAAGGTTCAAGGTCCAAAAGACAGTTTCAGTGCAAACTGAAAACTGTTCAAAGGGGTTTAAACTATTCCAGACGATGAATAAGGTTCTTATCAAGCGAAACGATTGCTCATTTAAAAGAAAAAAAAAATAAAGTTTAAGTTTTTTTAACTCAAATGCTCGCCTTGCTCTGTTCTGTGATGCACGTTCGTGACTCTCCTGTTCGAACTCGTTCATCAAAATGAACAAATCTGTTTCCGTGTCATGTGGTTCATTCAACGAACGAAATGAACGAGTTGACTCAGGAAAAGATTTATTCATTTTGATGAACGAGTTCGAATTGGAGAGTCACAAACGCGCAACTCAGCGTGAAACTGCCTTTTGGACCTTGAACCGTTTGGTTCCCATTGAAGTCCATTATATGGAGAAAAATCCTGGAATGTTTTCATCAAAAATCCTAATTTCTTTTCGACTGAAGAAATAATAACATGGATATCTTGGATGACATGGGGCTGAGTAAATTATCAGCAAAAGTTTTTTTAAAAAGTGAACTACTCCTTTAATGAGAATCACATTTTGATAGGAGGAACAGAACTTTTTTATTTTCAGCAAAAACTTATGCATGAGAGGTCATGTGACGCGACAGGTGATGACGCTCTCTGAACGTTTCCTTGCATATCGGACACTTCAGCCTCTCCTCCTTGTGCCTCGGCTGCTTCTCATCCGTCGTCGCCCTCTTGTGGTGGGACCTCATGTGTTGCACCAGGTCAGATGTCATATGGAAAGAAATGTTACATTTAGCACACCAGTTTTGCAGAGGTAGACCAAGAGAGGATAGAGAGGGAGGCAGTAGCGACTGCAAAGGCGTAGCGCGAGGTTGCTGTAGCCGGGAGGTCTTGAGCCAAAGGTTTGCGCTGGGAGGAAGAGACAACTGTTTGGGAAGGTCCTTATAAAGCAAAGCAGAGCCCTGGAGGTTGAGTGGTATAAATCTGGGGAGGATAGCTGTCTGGTTAGGGGTGGTGTAGATGGGAAGACTGGCTGGCATCAGTGGGACATGTGGTGTGATGCGTGCAGGTTGCGTGAACGCGCTCTTCCTGTTCTTGTCAACTGGAACATCACACGACCCTCTAGTGGAGAATGCAGGCTTGGTCGCTATTGGAATAGGCTTTAAATCCTGCCCATCTGGGTCTGTCGTGCTGTTGTCATGGCTTTGTGATGGGCTGCACTGAGAATTACGGCCCTCGCTGAAAGACTGTTTGCTGGCAGACGACCAGGAATGTCTATTCACTCCATTAACACAAAACCTTTTCACGGATATGTTTTCATCTACATGGCTGTCGAAAGACAACGGTTCGCCGTCACTCTCATCTGTGTCTGATTCAAGAGAACGTCTTCTTTTACTGCTATTTGAGTCTGCGGACCGATTTTTTTTGCAATTCTCCAACTCTCGCGCTAAATTGTGGAAGTCCGTGGTAGGTTTGGCGAGTTCTCGGATGGTGAGTGTCTGCGGAAAGCATGTAGGTTTCTCTGTGCAGAAAAATCTCTGGTGTGCCAGTAAAGGGAATTCAAAGAGAAAGCTCTGTTTGCATTCAGAGCAAACGAAACCTTAAAAAGAAAAAGTCAATTTAGATTAATTTCAATGAAACATAGGAATTAATAGTAGGTTGTGACAAGTCATTGAAACACTATTTTACTCTGAAATTAAACAAGTAGCTTCTAAATGAGTCATTGAATCATTCATTCAACTGATTCATTAAAAACAGTGATGCATTCGAGAACAAAACAAGTGACTGTCTATATGAGTCAGTCATTGAATCATTCACTTAATCGATTTGTTCAAAAACACTTATTCTTTCTGAAACCAAACAAGGCATTCAGTAAAATGCAGTTCTATATGCAATGCATTCATACCTTGTGTTTTCTTTGTGCTAAGACCAAGCAGTTTGGCTAGATCTCTCCCATACCAAGCTAAAAGCTCAGTGTTTTCAGTAATATCCTTTATGGCTCTGAAAGATAGATGCCCGTTCTTCATAAACGCCTCTAGATTTTGTTCCTCTGCGCTCCTAGCCGACTGAATCATCTGCAGACATTCGCTGGCCGCTGTTGGGTCGATCTGAACAATGCAAAAGAATGTGTACTTAAGATCTGAAAATTCACGCATTTACATCAAATTACATCCAATTTATTTGCATAATTTATGGTAGATCGCTGTCATATGGTGAAATGGAAACAAGGGCTATATCTTAGTAACTAAGTTTTCTTTCCAAATTGCAATCACACAAATCCTGATTTTCTCTAGAAGTGGTTTTGTACATTAGTTCAAAACTTAAAGGTACACTATGCAACTTTTTTTTGTTCAAAATTAACAGTTTTTTAAAAAAATAATGAGTAAATACATCAATCCTTCTTCCAAAACATATTTTTTACTTACTCTGATTCACTAAGCCTATTATAAGTGTTATCTGTCATGATGGTTTTCACAGGAAATTGTCACTCGCCCGTGCGCATCTCGTCATATTCGTAAATTGACACTGTGTTTGACTTGAAGTGACGCTGCTCAGACTGATCAGTGTGTGACATCATAGTAGAGAGCAGACGGCTCAGCATGATTTTGAATCACTCTTGTAGTAATTTGATGTCATACACTGAGCGGTCTGCTGTTTCAAGTTGAACTCTATTAAAACAATAAAAAGTTGTTTAAAACACACAATGCACACCTCATTGTAACCTCTAACCCTATCCCACACCCTAACAGGCTTTGCGAAGATCTTTCCGCATGCCTAGAAAACGCACACTTGAAGAATACATTATAAACTTCAGCGAGGAGAGTCTGCTGGCAAAAAGAAAACGCGACAGTGTTTATAATAAAACGAGAATCAACATTGGCTTGACTTTTGCGAGAACTGAGGGATTTGAAATGGTGTAAAAGCATTTTTATTACTCTCTAACAGATTTTGTTGTAAGGCGTTGTGAAGGGTTGTTTCATTATGGCTTTTGTAGTGCTGTTCTGAAATTCATTTTCAAGGAAGGACTACTTTTTGTATAGGCATGGCTTTGGCTTCAAAAATGTCATGAACTAGTCCGCTTGAGATCATTTCCATCCGAACTGTTTATATCTTAAGCCTTGATGAGTAGGATAATCTCTCTCTCCTTATGAGAAAGAACCATGTTCATCTGCACAGTCACACATTATTATAGCATAAAATGTATATATTCTTATAGTATATATAATATACATATAATAAGTGCACTGACATACATTCAGACAAGAGCAATTATCAAAAAGATTTTAAGAACTTTAATCGTTTTTTTTATTAATGTGCTTTATATGCAATTATTAAAAATACACTGTTGTTTCACTGTTTATATTTATATATGTATATAGGCCTATTGGTTACAACAGCTTTTAATATTTGAAAAAGACTTGTTATTTTAGATAAGATAGTTTTAAGGTAAAGTTTTCAAATGCAAAGAGGTTCCCATGCTGAATGAACGGTATTTTTTTCAGCCGTAATTTATAGCCTATGTAATAATTGTAGAAATTTCATATAACCTGGAAAACCTGTATACAGAAAAAATTGTTTCATCCTAAGAAATCTTCACTGTGTAAAAGAGTGACTAAAAGAGTGATGGCGAGTCAATAAAGCGCGCAGTTACCTGGAGCACGCAGGCAGTAGCGCGTCTGTCCGCGCACTTGCAGGCGATGAACGCGACGCTGTCCCACAGAGAGGTGTGTGTAACAGCACAGGGACCAAGCACAGCTCCCGCAGGGACGGCTCGAGAGGTCACGATACTGGTCAGCGCGTTTCTGAGCGCCGCGTCCAGCAGACAGCGCGCGCTTTCCTCGGGACCCTGACACAACACTTTCAAAATCAAATTCATTTCCTGTATGTTTTTATATGTGGATTTTATCATAAACGCATCTTACCATTTTAATCCACCGGACAGATAAAATCCTCTCCGCTGAGTGTCCTGACTCCTGATCCTACTGGATGCGCAGAGCGATGATTCTTAAATTATAAGCGCAATCATTTATCTGTGGAAAACAGTGACAAGACTCCGCCCTGATCCTTGTGACCTCTGGTCCCTCTGTGCTCTTATTCCCGATCCGAGTCGTTCTGGGTCAGTGTCGCTTATCATGGATGTGTGTGCCTGATCTTTGACTCAACGTCTAACCTGACATTGCTGAGATGAGCTCATTACTGTCATATTAACAGTGCGCTCAGGCGTTAATGATCACTGAGTGCTGCAGGCTATTATTCACATGCAGATACAGGCTGAGGTGCTCTATCTATCTATCTATCTATCTATCTATCTATCTATCTATCTATCTATCTATCTATCTATCTATCTATCTATCTATCTATCTATCTATCTATCTATCTATCTATCTATCTATCTATCATGCATGTATGTGTTCATTCATAAACAGCACAAACACATACATAAAGAGAATTTAGCCTAAATATAAGGTATGTATTATGTAACTATATGTGAAACAAGATTTGGTTTACAGTACCGTAAAACTTCAAATAGTCGAGTCCCATGGTGTGTCTGCAGGTTTGGTTAAATACAATCCGGTCTCATAGAGGCCGGATCTGTTTTGGGTTGTTAATCTTCTAAAACCGTCAGATCGTTCGCTTTTTGGTTGCCAAACAAATTTTTGTCTCGCCAAAGCCTATTTTGATCGGTGATTGATGTAGAATAGAATAACTGCTAACAGGGTGCATAACGACCAGAGAGAGAGAGAGAGAGAGAGAGAGAGAGAGAGAGAGAGAGAGAGAGAGAGAGAGAGAGAGAGAGAGAGAGAGAGAGAGAGAGAGAGAGAGAGAGAGAGAGAGAGAGAGAGAGAGAGAGAGAGAGAGAGAGAGAGAGAGAGAGAGAGAGAGAGAGAGAGAGAGACTCAGCCGCGCGCGCACACTCTCAATTGACACGATAGTAAAAGGTCGGAAGACTGCATTATAAGGTCTCATAGACACCTGTCTCAAATACAAGCCGGTGCAGTTCGACGATTTGGGAAAATAAAAGCCCAGGCAATTATTTGAAGTTTTACGGGTAATGACCCCTCACAAAAATTCTGTGGGATCATGGTGCTGCGGATTCATTTACATACTACTGGTTCAAGTACAAAACATGGAATAGGCCTATATGTTAAAGTATTTTTTATATGTTCAGATCTTTTTACAGTCTATGGTTCAGATTTACTCAGAGAGTAGCCTAAAAGATGCAAGTATGCCTATTTGGCATGCTGTTTGAGAGGGCTCCAAGCTCGATATTTTGGCCCGAACCTTGAGTTCTGGGATAGGAATGTGCCAGAGAACCAGCCAGAGTGAGGAGTCAGGGTGGTGGAGGGATGCTGAAAACTGCCGAGTAATGTAGGTGAGTTGATTGCATAATATAGGCCTATAGGTCTCCTCTCATGCTGATTTGATAGGCTATAGTCATGTTGATTGGATAGGTTACGTTAGGGCACACCCCTGCTTCCAGTTTCACTGGGTCCCTTGGGGTCCCTAACACTAAAACATTCCAATTCTAAATTAGGCTATGGACCCCTTAAAACTGCAGGGTGTACCCCCATGTACCAGTGCTTAATATGAAGATATCCTTTTTATTTAAATTAAGAAAACCATAATATAACAAAATGGCATTCAATTTATAAGGAGCCCCTAAAAGGACATGGTGAAGATGATGACAGAGAAAAAATAACTGTAAAATGCCCCCAAATAAACTGTGTGTTCCCTCGCAAAAACTTGTGCGTTCCACCAAGAAACTGTTCCCTTTGCATTAAAAACGTTTGCATTCCCCCGAGGTGAGTCTGACAGTGATTGACAAAAGAATCAAATGACCTAGCTACTTTTTTAGTTGTTGATCTCTAACACATGCTCTAGCATAAACCTTAATAGGCTACTGTGTGATATCAAACACAGATACAAATGTATAATTTTTCGCAAATTTCCTCTTGTTATTGTTGCCAGAGGCCTTTCATTTCGCATGGCGTTCTCAAATCTGACCCTGCCTTTTCTTACCCTTGTAAGATCACACGCTCTTGTATGAGCGCAACAGCGCATTCATTCAGCGCATGCGCACTAATCATGTGTTCTTCTGTCTGCAATGCAAACTGGACCCGCTTTGAATAGATTGAAAAAACTTCACGGAATGAAATTTATCTCGAGTGGGGGAGATGGCTATTTGATAACAGGAGAAAACGAATAACAATTCCCGAAGGCCTCAGCTGGAGTGTCTTTTTAAAGAGTGTGTTATTGTTCGATGGTGTGAGCGCGCGCTGTCATGCAGGAGTAAACTGCGCGCGGTCCGTCCACGCGCGTCAACTGCATTTCTACTACTAGATTTGATGTGTTCCCTTATAACAGCGACGTGCAGTACATGACAGGAATGAGAGGAGACAGTGATCATGCCATTAAAGCCACTTGGGTCCTCCAACTTTTCTGCATGTCTCTCCTGACTTCATTTGGGAAAGGAGAAGATGGCTCTTGTCATGGAGCCTTTGATTTATATTTTGTGTTGGATCGGTAAGTTTGACAGCATTTAATCGACTGTATATATGTCTATATTTTATAGGCTGTATGTTTATAAAACGTGCAAACACACCCTCTTTCTCTTGGTGTGTGCCCGTCTGACTGAAACATTATCAATGAAATTAATAACTAGTGAGCTCATTATTGTTCCTGGTATTTTTAGGTAGCCTACAGCTTATTTATTTTTTCCCACAAAGCTCCCAGGAGCCCTTATATGGCCCTGTTTCTCATCTAAACTAAAGCACTCTGTTCTCCATCATTCTAGGTCAGGCAGTGTGTCTGACAACTGGATGGAGATCTATACATTTGTGGAACAACTTACTAATCGTTTTGTGAGGTAAGAGACAATGTTAAAATGTTTTTAAGTCACTTTAAAAAAAATAATTAACATAACTAAAGCCATCGGGTGGGTTATAGAGTTTCAGCACTACAATGTAAAACATATGATCAACAAGTTGACAACACGTTTTTTTTACATTGCTTTAACTCATCAAAATGAGTTAAGCAATTTTCAACTCATTTTTAAGTGAGTTTAATGTAATTTAAGTTGGAATGTCTTAAAAATCTAAGTTGATTGTACTTAAACATTTATAGGCAGCTCCCTGGTTTCAAACCACTTGTGTGAGTCTCAACCTCTTGCACATGTGTGGAACTAAATATAAACTTAATTTTAGATTACTATGTTTAACTTTAGTATGTGTAATGTGTGTTTGGATTAATGTGTGGTATGGTGACCTAGTTAATGTGAGTTTGGGCATGAGGGCACAATGGTCAACCTCAAATAATGTCACAGTAGTAATTTACACCAAGTGCTTCCTAAATAGTTACAGTGAATATCAGACTATTTCAGAAAACAGTCCTTTTGTCTTACCCACCCATGAGAGTAAGTTTGGTTTAACATTTCATAACTGTGTTTTTTTTTCTTCCTTTAGCCCGAAAATGAGGGTGTCCTTCATAGTGTTTTCCTCTAATGCAGAAGTCGTGTTACCTCTGACTGGAGACAGGTGCGATTTCATTCAGCCTGTTGGAGAGTCATAATGTTGATATAAATCCTACTGTAAGCATAAAGCTGATGTTTTTCCTGGGCATTTAGGACAGCTATCGACAATGGTTTGCAGAAATTGAGCGAGATCAGACCTGCTGGTGAAACCTACATGCATGAGGGCTTAAAAAAGGTGAAAAGCTTATTCTTAACCCTAACCCTAACCCTAACCCTAACCCTAAATCATATTGTTTCTAAATGTATGTCAAAGGTCATAACAAAAAAATAACATTTTAGGTATTAGAACAAATGACTTCCCAGGGAGGAAGAGCATCTAGCATCATCATTGCACTGACTGATGGGAAGCTGGAGGTCTTTCCGCATGACCTCGCTGTGAAAGAGGTAAAGCAGCACAACACGTACAGTATGCAATATTTGTATAATACAATACAAAACAATACTTGACAACGACACATGGCAAACATGAGGGCTTTAATTCACAAGACTAATGACAAGACAAGGGATACCTGTGAACAATGAACAGACGATTATCCAATGACAAGACACATGGCAGGATCACATGACCAACAGGGAATCACATGACAGACATGGCATGAACAAAAACAAAACGTGACAGAGACAAGACCAAATCGTGACAGCAATACAATTGTAAAATTTTGACATGTTTGGCATTTACATAATTATTATCTACATTAGTTTTTTTTTAATAAAATGTAATAATTGAATGAATTAATGAATGAATTGTGCTTCCTCAGGCAGATCAGGCGAGGCAGTTTGGTGCTCGGGTTTATTGTGTTGGCGTGAAGGACTTTGATGCAAACCAAGTAAGACTTTTCAACAAAGACATGAAATCTGCTGTGGAATATATTATAAAAAAAAACACTTAATATTAAATGCTATCGAATGTTTAAAAATAAACCCTAAATATTAGTGCCGTCAAATCAATTCATTGCAAATAACCTCATCTAACATACAAGTTTGTAAATATAAAATGTATGTGTTGTGTGTGTTTGTCTGTGTGTGTGTATATGTACAAACGTTCATGTTAGATGAGATTAATCGCAATAAATCGATTTGACAGCACTACTAAATATTTAAGACACACATTTTTCACCTATTGGATAATAAAACAGATGAAAAATCCCCAAAAAGTACATTGAAGTAGGGACCTGAGCAGGAAAAAATACTCGGAACACCTTAGCAACCACATAACAGCCTGACAATCACCTAGAACATACAAAAAAAAAAAAAAAAAAACACCTTAGCAACTAAATAGCGGCCTTGCAACCAGATAGAACAGCCTATTTACTCCATAGCAACGTGCCAAAAATCACTCAGAACCCCTTAGCAACCACCTAGAACACCCTATCTATTCTATAGCAACGTGCCAAAAACCACTCAGAACACCTTAGCAACCACATAACAGCCTAGCTACCACCTAAAACACCCTATCTATTCAATAGCAACATACAAAATGAAAAAATGAAAAACACCAAACTATATAGCAAACTGGCAGCCACATAGAACGCCCTATTTACTCCGTAGCAACGTGCCAAAAACCAGTAAGACCTCCTTAGCAACCACATTACAGCCTGTCAATCACCTAGAACACACAATTTACTCCATAACAACATGCCCAAAAACACTCAGAACATCTTAGCAACCACATAAATGCCTAGCAACCACCTGGAACATCCTATCTACTCCCTAGCAACTTCCTAAATTCCACTCAGAACACCTTAGCAACCACATAACAGCCTAGCAACCACCTAGAACAACCTATCTATTCAATTCAATAGCAACATACAAAAGAAAAAACCTTAGGAACTATATAGCGGCCTGGCAGCCACATAGAACACCCTATTTACTCCATAGCAACGTGCCAAAAACCAGTCAGAACTCCTTAGGAACCACATTACAGCCTGTCAATCACCTAGAACACACAATTTACTCCATAGCAACATGCCCAAAAAACACTCAGAACACCTTAACAACCACATAAATGCCTAGCAACCACCTAAATTCTCAGAACACCTTAGCAACCTCATAGCAACACCTTGACAGCCAACCACACCAAATATTTCACACATTCCAACACAATTTTCTACAGAAAATATAAGAATCTAGTTTCTGACATTCTCTTTTGTCTGAATCTATTGTAGTCCATCAGTTGTTGGTGTATTGCTTATAATTGCTGTCATGGGAAGGTTGTTGTCATGACGATATTCTTTTTTTTTCTGTGTGCATTAGTAGCATCATTAGTGTAACAGAGGGATCCATTATATTGACTCTGCTGGATGTGTTTGTCCGGGCAGGATGATGCTGAGTGTAATTGGATTCTGCAGAGCACATATCCGGCTCATTTTACATTAGCCAGAGATTGTTTTTGGCCCGGGAAATAATAGCAAGATTGCTTTAAGAATGGGCACATACAGAGATGTGTGATCATAAAAAAGCTAATTTCTGACATGAAATGCCAGTTTTTTTTACGTATGTTCATTATCAGCTTGTAGATATTGCAGACAGCAAAGATCAAGTGTTTCCTGTCGTGGATGGATTTCATGCCCTCAAAAACATCGTAAACTCGGTGAGGTTTAGTGCAAGCGAGCAAAAAATGCATTTATTACATGCGGGTTTTATGCTGCCTTCTAATTGTGTTGTATTTGCGTTTGCAGATTTTAAAGAAATCCTGTGTCGAAATTTTTAACCTCGAGCCCTCCAGCATTTGCGTGAATGGTACGTCTAAAAAGGTCAACGTAAACCAGATTTGATCCCTTCTGGACTCATAACCATAACTTATTTCAGTGTAAACATTGTGTTTTAGAATCGTTCAACATTGTTTTGAGAGGAAGGGGCTTCACGCAGGGGAGAACGTCAGAGGGCGTGGTCTGCACATTATCGGTCAATCAACAGGATCCTTACAGTAAGCAATTCAATGCATTCCATCTATATAACACGCCCTATCAACAAAAATACAAGGCATTCACATTCATCAACTGAATAAGTGGCATGGTAAGCCACAATGCTATTATTATTTTTTTTGTTAGCAAGTGTGATCCCAAAATCTGCATGGCCTCGAGAGGCTCTTGCTCTTTTTAGCCGATGGGGAAGTTTCAAGCAGCTGCATCCTTAAATAAAGCCTCTTGTGTTTCATCCTGTATTTGGCATTTTGCGGCAATCTCATGCTGCTCTCTCTTCCTTCTAGATGAGAGGCCGGGTGTAGTGAAGGATAATTACGTGCTGTGTCCAGCTCCAGTGTTGACCGAGGTCGGACAGTAAGTGGCATTCGACCAGCTTCACTTGGAGAACAGTGACCCTCCATTCAGAGCCACAGCTGTTACAAGCCGACATGCAAAGGGAACGAGTTCATCATCTTTTCCCGGCGGTTTCTATCTCAGTTTCTGTTTATAGCTTAGCTAACAACTGATAAGAGGCAGGCTCAGGGGCAGGGATGGAACAAAGCAGCGTGTGTGACGGCAGCACATTTTTGTTCACCAGCTAAAGAGAATCGCAAAATGACCCACCGTTCATTGCCAAGTTTGTTTGGAACAGTTGAAAGGGATTTTTCCCAAATCGAACAACTTAATTCGTCTTGTTGTTTGAAAAGAATACTTTAGCACAGCGCTGCTGGCCTCACTCTGTATGACAAACTATGCCCCGCCTTTGCCACTAAATCATTTAATAACGGACTTTCCCTCTCTCAACAGCTCAATCGATGTGCTCATTAGTCTGAATAATGGCCAGTCTTTCATTTCAAGTCCAATCACAATATACGCCACCACATGTGTAAGTACATTATACATTTTTTAACAAACCAGATAAATTAGCTAAAATTGAAAATATCAGTAAATATCACAATTAACAGTATAGTTATAGGACACAAATTAAACTAAAGTTTAATGTTCTCTTGAAACATTAGCAGGTTCAAGTCAGTGTTCATTTAGTAATTTATACTATTATAGTACTTTTTTTTATTAGTTTTTAATATATATTTTTCATTTTAGTTCAAGGTTTAGTAATTGTTACATTTCTAATTTTCATCAAAATTTAAAAAAAAAAAAAAATATATATATATATATATATATTTATATATTAATGGTATCAAATCAATTAATCGCATCAAATAAAAGTTTGTAAATATGTAATATATATGTGTGTGGGTTTATATATATATATATATTAGTAGTGTCAAATTGATTAGTATAAAAGTTTGTAAATATATAATAAATAAATAAATATATATATATATATATATATATATAAATTATTTTATTTGCTTTATTGTTACATTCATCTTTTCATTTCCCATAGTCTGATGGGATAGTGATTGTCATTGTGATCCTGGTGCTGCTGGTTCTGCTGGGTTTAATTGTGTTCTGGTGGTTCTGGCCTCTCTGCTGCACTGTGGTGAGCACAAGTTCTGTTCTTTTCCACACACTTGTGTATATTAATGAGATATTAATAATCATGAGGGCTGTTTTCCTCCTCCTATGGCAGGTAATCAGGGATCCACCCCCATCTCGCCCTCCACCTCCACGTCCAATACCTGTAGGTACATTGGGACTTGAAATATATTTGAATTAGCTGAATTGGCAATGTCTTGAAATGCTTGGTGATGTTATAGGAGCCTGAGGTGGACCCTCAACCGAAGAAGAAATGGCCCACCGTGGATGCGTCTTATTATGGTGGCAGAGGGCCTGGTGGTATAACACGCATGGAGGTAATGCAACCATCCAAGCAATCCACTGACCGCACAAACAAAACGTATATGGTTTAGACGCTTAAGCTTACAACATCCACAGGTTCGCTGGGGTGAAAAGGGCTCTACAGAGGAAGGGGCTCGGTTAGCCAAAGCCAAAAATGCTGTGGTCAAAATGCCAGAGGAGGAGTTCGAAGAGCCTGTAATAAGACCCCCACCCAGACCACCACCGATATATCAGGCCCCAGTCCCAGACAAATGGTACACTCCCATTAAAGTAAGTGTTCTGTGTCAACACATTGGCTTTTTGTTACTGGATGATGTACACAGTATGCAGGGCTTGACATTAACATCTGCCAAATGCGGGTGGATTTCAGCAGTGGTGTGTAACGCAGTCACTCCTACTGGGTAGTTGAATTTTAGGCTATATTATAATATACAAATTTTCAATTGTAGTATTTTTTAAAAAGCACCTTAAATAATAGATCATAATAAAAAGTCATTTTCCACAGAATATACGATACCAGCTGCTCTTTCTCGCTCTCTCATGTCACTGAGTTGATACACAAACCCGCCTTTCCTCACTCACTCGCTTCAGTGTCTCCGGATGAATAGTGTTGGTGTTACAGTGTTTGAATTTTACCGTGGGATTACGGCTATTGTGCATAATTTTACTCATTCCCGCAGATTTTGTGCTTATACAAAAACATAAAGCCGCCTCTCAGTACTAAAGTGAGCTTTTTTTCGTTGTGTATTGTGCTTAAACTCTCAAATAAACACAAAATAATGTCTAAATGCCTGTCTGGGCGAGTATTCACATATAAACACAGTTATGTTTTAAGTGAATGTAAACAGTTGAGAAAGAAAATGCATGTGTTAGTAAAATGGATCTGTGCGTCAGGTCTTAAAGCGACTAATATAATATATGTGCTGCCAAATTTAACACATCTATGTGACAGTCTATAATGTCAAAATTGTGGCCAGTGAAAATACTGAGTTGCTGGTAACTTTGGAAAACCACTAGCCACAGTGGCTGGTGAGCAAAAAAGTTAATGTCAAGCCCTCATAGTATGTATTAAGCAATTTCATAATGTGCTTTAGTGTATTTTTGTGTAATTTGCATTTGTAGAGTCGTTTTGATGCTGTGTTAGCATTGCTGCGTAGACAATACAACAGAGTTGCCATCATGAGACCTACAGCAAATGACAAGGTACAGTTACCATCTTAAGTCAATGATATTTTCTTTGCAAATCTGTATGTTATCAACAGAAGAACAATTGCTTTTGTTAATTACATTATTTGCTTAGCAAAGAAGGAACTTATTTTGGTAAGACTTTTCTAAGGTGATGTAGTTACAAGTTATTACATACTTACTATAGTAATAACAGTAAATTATGCATAATTACAAGTAACTAACCCTAACCGTAACTATATAAGTACATGTAGTTAATTAATGTTACTCAGTACTTAATTGAGTAAGTACAACGTAACTACATCACCTGAAAATAAAGTCTAACCCCTGTTTTTTTATGTTATTAGAATTGTACAGAAGAAACATAAAAACAAACAAATACTTGTCATTACTTAGCTTTATTCCAAAACCTTCCTAGTGAACTAAAATTGGCCATTTGAAACGTTCTACATGAGGAACAACACATTTTATTTCATACAAACAGCACTCCTCTTACATAAGCCCTATTCGGACGGGACTCGTTTTCTAAACGATGTTTGAGTTTCTTTCACAATTCTTATCACCCTGACCTATGTGATTTATGGAAGATGTACCAATTCGGGGGTGTTTATTGCAGAGGTGGGAGTGTGTGTTTTCTAGATGTGGGCTATACAGAAGGTAAAAAAGGCAATCTTTGTAGCTTCTGTGATTTTTCTGTTTATTAATTGTAGCATTTTATTTCGTCATTGGATACCATCCATATTGAAATCCAAGCATGTAAAAGGTTAGTTTGCAAACTAACCTTATATGTCAAAAAAACATGAGAAAAGTTACTTAGATAATACAGTATTCGGGGAGGTGGGGGCTGTAATACCACGCAACTTTCAAATTACTTGACAAAAAATTACATCCTGAGAAAAGTGGATTTCTGTGGGTGAAACCCCCTAGACGTCCATTCATTCGGCCAGTGCCAATTCTCTTCAATTAGACATTCTCTGGGGACACATTGGTGTCTCACAGTGGATTCAAACCCGGGTCTCTCACCCCAAAGGCATGTGTCTTATCCACTGGGCCATGGTGATCCTCACATCCTCCATGAAAACTAGTGCTGATCGACAAGGGCTATAGACTCAATTCTCATTGATTTCAATAGAATTAGTTGTTAGCATGTTGCTAAGCTAACGGCATGATACAGGGCTCGATATCCAGAAATTATTAGCCGTATTTCCACTGTCTGGCCATGTGCGAGCGAGGGCTATAATCAGCCCAAAGTAGGGACTTGAACGCACAAAAACAAAATCCAATACACTATATTGCGCGCAGAAGAAAATAGGCTTGTTTCATTTTTTTCAATCATTTCATATTTCTACATTTAAAAAAAATAATCTCTTAACATAATTTATGCAATTATAATTTGCTGTGGAAATCCATACATGCCATGTCTAAACAACCTGTGTCTATCCAAAAAATGGATTTTATTGATGCCAACTTCCTTTTATTTGGTCATAATAGCCATACACTGTGTCTTTGCATTCTGATTGAATAGGTTGACTAAATTTATGAATCTGACATAAGAGGACAGATAGTATATATAATATAATAATATAATATAATTAATAGGTTATCTTCATTGCCATTTAAGTGAAATTACTGAACTTAAATATACAAGCTTGATAAAAATGATAATTTTAGAAGAAAATTTCAAATGGCACTTAGAGGCTTTTACATCTGAACTCTTCAAATACTGTTTTCTCATTGATGTAATATTAGCCAACCACTAAACTTTGACTATAGGCATGTTGCATATTAATTGTTCTAGGAACCTCAAAGCATATTTGAATTTTTGTGTAATTTGTGATACTCCATAATAATGTTTATAGCGTAAGTAGGGCCCAAACATAAACTCAAGCTCAGTTAAAATGTGGAGTTTTTTTTATTTTTAACATATGATACAGTTAAGCAATCTCACATGGCGAGTGTTGTTTTCCTAAACACCATCACGATTGAAAATGTGACATTGATTTCATACAACAGTTCAAAAAATAGTTCAAATTAAGTCACTTTAAGACATTTTTGATGCAATATTGACTGTTTTTGTTCAGTTTCAGCAGTTCCAAACAATGACCACATAGCAGAACCATAGCGCATCTCACAGCAACATTTGCGTCAGAATAAATTAAATTATATAAAACACACGCACAAAAAAACAAATTCCGAACAAGTAACCTTTTTACCCGGACAAGTGAATTACAGATTTACAGATTTTGAAAATGTCGAGCCCTGTGATACCAAGCATAAACATACATAACATTTTTTTTATATATATATTTTAATTTAGCCTTTTTTTGTTAATACTTTGTTGAACAAATTACATAATATATTTGGTCATTTCTCTCAAATGGATTTTTTTCACTGAGCTTATCACTATGCATTATGGGATTGCTCTGTTTGTTATGCATTCTATGACTTGCCAAAAGAAGGTAGAGTGTTCTAGAAGGGAGCATAATGTCTCTGTCTACCTTTTAGAACAGGATGCCTTAAAACACTGCTTACTGTACTGTATGTATTACTGTAAGACAGCTCACTAGGCTTTGGAAAAGAGCCATTGTGTTGATGCTTAATAGTTGACTCCCTCATTTGGCCTGCTGAAAAGGCTCATTAGCACTAATAAGCTGCAGAAACGAGGCTGACAGTCCTGTCACAGACAGACCAGATCGAAATACACACTCTCGTCGTCATATATCTCATTACGGTGCTCCGACTGGTCATGAACTGACCCTCAAACACACACTCATCACAGACGAGACGTCAGGATTACAATCATTAGGTTGACCTGACTGTCAGAGTTCAGGTTGTCATTGATGCGGCCCTCGCCTGACACTTCACTTTCGAGAGTGACCTCTTGACCTCTCACTGATTTCACTGTCACACTTAGTTTGAGTTTAACTGAAGGTCCGTCTAGGGCACAATAAGAATATTGTTAAACTGATTGTCTGTGGGCAAAAGTATATCTTTGCACAAAAAGACTGTTGTAAAACATTTTCATTTGTTTTTATTATCTCACTTTCTTAAAAGACAAAAAAAAGATAATAATAATAATAATATGGAAATATTAATCATGGGAATATATCTTTTTTTTCATATTTTTCTCCTGTTTACTTGTCTTGGCAGTTAGGGTTAGGAGTGTTTAAGGCCTGTTCATACCAAGTCTGATGCAAATAAGTCTTTTTATATATACAGTAATCGTGTACATGTTTTTTTCATGCCAAAGATTCAGACTTGCTATAAACAGGCCTTAATTTCCGATACTGGTACCTGTTCTGCACTCATGGTACCAGATCTGTCCAAACAGGGTTTGTCAAGCATTAGTGTTGCTTGATCAACCTGCCTGACCTCCATCATTGCTGCTTCCTTACCACCAATTAAAATCAAATCTCTCTCAATTACCTCAAATTATCGTAGATGTCAGTGCGACAAAAATATTGTCAAAACAATTATTTTTTTACCATAAGAGGTGCATTCAAAACATCCATGGATGATTTAGCATCAGTAGAGTTAATGTGAAATATGATCAGCGAATGAGGGCATAGCTTGTAACATGAGGCAAAAACATTAGGGGATATGATTTGTCATATTTCACATTTATAAGAGATAATGGGTTAAAGAGATGGTGGAGATGATGAGTGTGGTGATTGTAAGAGGGGGTGCATGGTGGGATAGCCGGTCCTCCATTCTGCATATCTGTATGTGTAACAACCTGCTTTTGTTGGGGTTTTTTTTTGTCTTTCAGGGGCGCTGCATCAAATTCACCCGTGTTCAAAGTCATTGACCAAACACAATGTGTCCTTTAAGTGAGTTTTGATCAATTTTAGGAGACTGCTTGTAAAGGCTAGACATTTTGAATATAGGGTTCAAATGTCACTTTTCAGGCACGTTCATATAAGAAGGATTGGGGAATTCACACCCGTATGGATACAGTGTGCACCGCAAAGCTGTACTTATGAATTAAAACTATCAGATTTTAATTCTTACATGTATAAATCTATCCTGCTGACTTTTCTGCATGTGCTTTTTGTAACAATTCATTTTTTTGTTAATTTTATAGGTTCAAATCAATACTGTGCCTTCTTGTGAGTGTATTATGAAGGGGTTTGTAAAGGAGAGAAAATGTAAATTATTATTTTTCAATATGAGTAGTAGATGTTAATTTTCCAGTTAATCTGTAAACATTTTTATTTAATTATTTGTTCTTATTTTTATTTATAATTCAATCTTATTAAATAAATTGTAATAATACAGTTCACTTGTGAGAGTGTGATTCATGATGCAATAAATGATTTATGATGAAATGTTAAAGCCTGTAATACCTTTCAAATAAAATGTAAAATTGTACATTGGTGAGTTGATATGGTGAACACTGAATTATTGATGTTAGTCAAATATCCTGATTATGAATATGTAAGCACACAGCTCAGAGCAGTTATTTAGGTAATCAGGGATTAATCTTAAGCACAATCAACAGACTTAATGTTTGATAATAGCATGTTAGAATGTCTGGATATTCCAAATGATAATCCTAATCTTTTATATTATGAGAGATTATTTTGGCAAAAAGTACAATTATGATTGAGAACCAGACATGTTATTTAAATATGAAATTGAAATGAGCTACATAACGAAATAAGTGATTTAAATCACAGCATAAACACAAATAATCATTAATGCATCATTTTGTAACGTAGCCTATTTTATCCCCCTTATTTTTACTTTGACTGTAATACCAGTACAGTAGCTATGTGGGACACAATGATTTCTTATTTATAATGGTAAAGCGATCAAACGAGAAACTAAATTTGCTCTGATTTGGGCGAAACCTATTTTAAAAAAAATCTAGCCTACATTTAAACTTAATCTGAGATTATATTCTAAATATCTAAGATAATTTTATGTAAAAGGTTTTTTAATTGTTTCATTTTTGCATATGCTCTCCGAGAGTGACTTGCTGTCGCAATGTGTGTCAGTCTGTCGCAGGATTTTAATGTCACACTCACACTCGTTTCTTCTTTAGCCTTTAGCTGGACGGCTAGCTGCCGGTTATCAACATGACGCACATATTCTGTTATTAAACAGAAATTAAGGAATATACAGGGCTGAATGGGATAGACGGCAGGTCGTTACGTGGAGGTGAGGGGTTTGCTGTAATTACACTCAGATCTAATGGCTTTAAAAGCCTAATGTTAATCCTCTTTGAAGCGCAGTTGTTAGCCTGCAGCAGCTTCGTATTAGCGACACAAACAAAACATGTGCGACATTTGAGTCAAGTTAATAAACGGGAATGTATTGCTTGTTAGATTGTGTTTATGTCCTATTAGCTTTCAGCAAAAAATAAGACTTTTACATTTGAATGCGAGTTTAGTTGCAAAAAACCAAAGTTATTTAAACTCCAATAGTAGCATAATTTGTCTCGGTTTAAATCCTAAACAGCAGCTGAGCTGCTTTAAGTATTTTAGTTTGAGCTGATTTTTGGAGATGCTGGAGCTTTTTCAGTCTGTGTTTGTGTGTTATTGAAACAAATGAGAGTTGTACAGCTGTATTACTGTAACTCTTCAAGTTGCAAGTAGGGTCTTTTCTTTCTGTAACTGATCTGCCTTGTTCCTCAAGCCACTTGAGCCAAGATGCCTCAGAACCCGCTCAAGAGCACCCATTACATCGAGCTGGGCAGCTACCAGTACTGGCCTGTGCTCGTGCCCAGAGGGATCCGCTTGTACACCTATGAGCAGATCCCAGGGTTTCTGAAGGAGAACCCGTACATCACAGACGGATACAGAGCACACCTGCCATCAAAACTCTGCATCAAAAGGTGTGTTTCTTTCCCTTTTTGAAACTATGGATGTGTTACCTCTTAACAACATTTTTTTCTTCTCATATCTCACAGTATATTCATTCTGTCCAATGAGACGGTGAACATCTGGAGTCATCTGCTTGGGTTCCTGCTGTTTTTCTCGCTGGGGGTATATGACATGGCCACGGTCCTGCCGTCTGCGGGGGCGTCACGAGAGGACTATGTGATTTATTCAATAGGACTATTTTGTTTTCAGGTAACGGAAAATGTGGGGAAATAGTAACTATCATTTATATTTAAGTAACTAGAAGGCACAAGGACAAATAAGCATTTTTTTATTTATTCAATTTAGTCGAATTCACATTTATTGGTATAGCGCTTTTCACAATACACATCCTTGCAAAGCAATGCATGTGTCTACATGACAATTTAGAGTGATCTCTTATCTGTCTCTCAGAAATGTACATATACAAATCACGCAGTTAGCTAACATCATGTATTAGTTTAAATCAGAAACAATGAGCTTATTGAAGTAGTTATTACAAGTTGTTACAAGGAAATTTAGCATTGATGCATCTTGATTCAGTGTGGATTTATGGGTTTTATTCTATGGTTAGGTTTGCATGCTGTGTTCTGTGGGCTACCACTTGTTCAGTTGTCATCGCTCGGAGAAGACGTGTCGCCGCTGGCTTGCTCTGGACTACGCTGGAATATCCGTGGGGATTTTGGGATGTTATGTGCCTGGAGTCTTCTATGCCTTCTACTGCAACAGTGTATGACAGAAGTTTTTTTTTTTTTTAAATGAGTGGCCTTCAAGTCCAAGGATTTATGGTTTCTTTTTTCCAGCTTTGATTTATTTGTTTTTATTTTTTATTATAAATATTTTATTGCTTTCATTATTTATGTATTAAACTAAATGAAGTTATTTTAATTTATTATTTACCCAGTTCATTATATAACCCAGTTCATGGATCTGCGAAAACAACTAAAAACGCTGTGTTAAACTCATGCCAGGCCAGTAGATGGCGATGTCACTTTGTAAAGGAACACTACAAACAGGCTTGACATCACAGTTTTCACAAATTTGCGTTTTTGTTGTTTACAGAGACTATAACAATATTGTGTTAAAATGTTGTACTTCTAATCCCGTTTTCAAAAGGTTTCAGGCCCCCAAATACAGTGCCACCTAAATTATATGTCATTGCATTTCCATTCTCATGCAAATATTTTGCATTCCCCTAAGAAACTTTGAGGTCTCATTTCTCAAGTCTATTTTTTTTCACCATGTCCCTTTAGGGGCTCCATAGTTATCTGATTCATTTATGTACAAATTAGGAGTGATCGTCTTTTTAATATCCACTACGGTCATAACAACAGATGACGTTTGTTTCAGTTTTGGAGGCAGGTGTACCTGCTGACGGTGCTGGCTCTGATCCTGGCGGTGTTTGCGGCTCAGATTCATCCTCTCTACCTCACACATCACTGGAAGAAGCTGCGCTCTGTCATGTTCTGCTCCGTGGCTGGATACGGCATTATCCCAGCCTGCCACTGGGTCTGGATCAACGGAGGATTTGACTCTGAAATCGTAAAGGTGATATATTTTCTTGTAATTTTTGGAGACACTATTAGTTGGAAACAGATTGCTTTATAGACCATTTCACAAGATGTAAACAACACTGGTCCAGAAGCACTTCCTGTTGAAGTTTGTAACTGTTTTCTTTATTTCACATGTAAAGAAAACATCTTAAAGATGTTTGTTTAACTTTTTGATTCAGTTTTAAATGTTTTGTTGGTTGTATTTTATCCCAGCTTTTATGTAGTGTTAAAAAACTGAAACAGGAAGTGCTTCTGGACCAGTGTTGTTTACATCTTGTGAAATGGTCTATAATTTACTCTTTCCACGCCATTCAAGGAATTTACAGTTATACAATAGGGGGCGCTATTGCACATCTTCTGAAAGAGATCTGAATGTCCTGATCAAAACACAGGTGAAGAAGATGCAGAATCAAGTGATATCATGTGTAATCATATGCATATGTTAAATAACGCCATCACCAACATTGATTTACAATGGCATGTAATTCAAAGTTGCCTAATGTTACTGAATAAATGAATGAATGAGGCATTTATATAGCGCTTTCATGTGTACTACTGTACACTCAAAGCGCTTTACAATCATATCAGGGGATCTCTTCTCAACCACCATGAATGAAATGGCGACCCAGGACGAACTATAGGACTGAAGCTTTGAGGGTGTTGGAGTCGATTTACTCCATCTGTGCTTTGGTCATCGTTCTGAACCCGTCCTTAGACAAAAATTTAGCTTGTTGCTCAAAATGTTGCTTTTTTTTTTCAAATGAAACTTACCTATATTCAAGAGTTGATAATAAAATAAAAATGCATAAAGCTAGAATAAAACACGTATTTTGTTAAAAGGCAGAAGGTCTGTTCTTTCTTTTGATTTATTCAATGTTAAGATATTATGTTGGTGGGGACAGAGTTCACTAAATGTTCATGACTGACATAAATGTTCATGACTTGATCCTTGACGTGCACTTCCTCTCTTTACAGATGTTTTTTCCTCGAGTCATGATCATGTACGTGATCGCTGCCTCCGCGTTCCTTTTCTACGTCAGTAAAATCCCAGAACGATACTTCCCAGGTTATTTTTTTTCTGTTCAATTCCTGTAAATAATTATAATAATCTAACCAAAACAAATTAGTCAAGAAACAAATTAAAAACAGAGCAAATATTTTGTCCTTACAGGCCAGCTGAACTATCTTGGTGCCAGTCACCAGCTCTGGCACGTGCTGGTGGTCGTCATGTTCTACTGGTGGCACCAGACCGCTGTCTACATCATGAACTACAGACACAATCAGCCCTGCAGCAGTGGTTAAACATGCTTATGAAATCATCCATTTTCTTTGGCATTAGTTTAAGTTGTGCTAATAGAATCGAACAATGAAACTTTACCTCTCATCTGCCTTTGAACAACGTACCTTAGGGTTACGTGCAATCAATATTGTGTTGAGTTTATCCGCCTGAAGAAAACTTTCATACACATTCTCTGCTGGATATACCGGTACATTGTCTTTGTCTGTTACTTTATGTATTTTGATTTCTATTGAGCCTTTTGCCCATGGTATCATGGGGGTTGTGAAACTATACTGTTAATACTTTGCCTCACTTTTCTGGAATGTCCATCATTTAAATGACCTTAACTCTCACTGTTTTTCTGACGTATGTTACAATTTAGTTTACTGTAATTTTGTGACTTTTTTTTAAATACTTGTTTGGTAAAGGGAGTTGTTATGATGTATTAAACGCACTGAGTTCATGTAACGTTATAGCATAACTGGACTCTGGGAATTTAAATGACCAAGCAAGCATCTTCAGTACTTAATGTAAACAATGGGTCAAAAAATACTTGCACTGAGTTGATTATGAATATGTATTGAGGCAGCCATTACAGAACTTTTTGTGTGACTGTTTCTCCTCATTCTTTTTACACTTTCTGTTAGCGGTTTGGTTTTCTTTATTTGATATTTTAATCTTTTGGAAATTATACAAACTGCCTGAATAATGAAACTGAATAAAAAGCCTTGTTCGTTCATGTCGCGTGTCTTAGTTGACAAAAAAGTAAATCCTCCCAGGTTTACTGCCCGCAATTACTTCCGGTCCACCAATTTGATTTGTCGCGGGTTTTTCTACGACTACGTTGCCTTCATTTGACGCTTTTTTGTAGGGGTAAGAAACAACACCTATTCACTTTGCCTCGAAAGAACTGATAGTTACTCCATATTACCTTATTTATTGGACTGTAAAATACAACTGCTGCAGGCTACGTTTTGCTTGGTCAGTGTCGTTGCGTGTCTGGATTATTTTGCTGTAATTTACGTGAAATCATTTGGCGAAGTGATATGAACTGTAATAACGTCTGTGGTCAAGACCTGACTCAACCATCATAATCAAGCATTCATCATCAAGCAAAATCGTATTTTAATCCTTCAGAACAATGAATGTTTCTGCAGGCAACTTGAAAATTGACCTTGTGGCATGGTCTGCCTGTAATCTCTTGTTGATACCATCAAATGTCTTACATTATGGAGTTTGACATCATAAAAGAGGGCTGATTTGTCTTAATCGTATTCTGAAATTAATCCGAGTGTTTTGTCCTACTCTAGTGGCATTAGGGATTTTCCAGGGCATTGTTCTTTTGCTGTCTGAAGACTAATTGAAAAGAGAGAACGTGGTTGAGCTCAGCGCTTTACTGAAGTAACAGCTGCAGATTATGAACAGTAATGAAGATAATCTGTGAGTTTTCACTTCTGACCGCAGACTGTATCAGATGATTGCAATGGAAGACTGAATTATTATGGTAGACTTATGTAAAATCACTTTCCATTGAATTAACGTTTCTTTACTGCTCACATCTCCAAATGCAACATTACCATGCACTCACTGACGTAAGCAATATCTCATCTTTTTTTTTTCCTCATAAAAAAAAATTTCTTCTGGGAATCCAGTCATGTTAAATCTGCCTTTCTGACCTCACAGATGCTCGAGTCTAGACCAAATTAAAACTTATCAGTGGCATCCTTATTGGAAAAAGAGGCTAAGAATATTTTGTGTTTAACCAGCATCTGCATACATCACTTTCTCATGACAATCTGCATTGTTTGGGGAGATTAGAAATGAATAATCCAAAAAATTAGGCTGAAAGTCCAATTCCAGTATCAGAATTGAGACCAAATGTCACCCAAATTGTAATTCTATGTACTTATGAGTGAGTGACAAGACAAAATGAGCAATCACTTCACTTAAATGCTCAGCCCATTCATGGAATCCCAAGAGATTAAAATTGTGGACCACTAGACTAGGCTACCATAACCATGTACTTCATGCCACCTGCTGTATCAAGGACAAAACTACACATTGAAGACGATATTTCAAAAGGCAAAATGGCATAGAACTTTATTTTCTTTATTCATTCTTCAGTCACTGTGAGCTATATTACTTCACAATGCAGGAATAAAATGTAATCAAGTCCTGACAAATCAAAAGATGAACATTCTGGAACTAAATTGGTCATTCGTGTTAGATTAAAGTTAATATATTACCAAGTATACAAGTTATCTATGATTATATCAAAGTTAGTACAAGAAATACATTTCATAAAGCTCTTCTGATTTATTATTAGAGTTTTAATAAACGAAATATCTTTGGACATTCTTTCACATTATAGCACTTCTGCGGTGATGTCTTCTGTTCCGAAGGGTTTGTGCTGAATTCATTTGCCATCTTCACCACAGATCTTCAGGAGCGTTTGGCAAAAATCCCCAGATACATCAGACTACAATAAAAAATAAGGTGAGATCATTTATGGGACTGCTGACATTAAACATCATAGACTTGCTAAACATTTAGAATCTTTATTAATTAGAAATAAGTTTAGTATCTTTGTTAAAAAGCACTGGTTTTAGAGTGGTAGAGGCAAGCTGGAGGGAAATTAGCAACTTCATACTAAAGTAATCAATGGAAAGTGGACAAACAAAGAAACATGATGATGCTTCAATTCAGCAGATTTGTGATTAATGGGGCAACGCAAAGCATGTTTGATGGTCTATCAGAGGGTGTGTACAGGCACACATTCAGGTCAAATCTGCTGAAAGAACGCTGCTGTGCAATGTTACAAAGAGCCTCAGTAAAATCAACATGGCTTAGGTTGTTTTCGTGCAGCCAATTGAATTAGCAAATTCAATTTATGAATCTCCTCAAGATGCTCAGTCACATGCTGCCTTCATGTCCTAGGGAAGGGAAGGTCCGATTTTACATGTTTGTTCAGTTGTAGTTTTGACTAAGGATAATTTTACACAACAAAGAAGTACTAAAAACGGAAAAGCTTTTCGCGTACAGACGACACCAAAAACCCAACCAATCCCGTTCATAGGGAAACATGAAAACGATTAAAAACATTGTATTATTCATGTCATTTTAATAAACACTAAGCCTATAGACTGAACGCACACATGCGCATGACATATTTTTACAATTTTGCATTTTTGTAGTTTACACAGAGACGATAACAGTATCATTTTCAATAACTAGCACCATAAAACCCATTTTCAAAAATGAGCGCAACCCCAAACGCTGTTGTTGTGTCAAAATGCAGAACAAGTTTTCGGTTTTTAGTTGAAACGTTGTGCAAACTGCCCCTAAATGAGCAATATCTTTATTTTACCTGCATGCGCGTGCCGAAAGGTACAGCGTTGCACAATGAAACTGAAACACCTGGTTTAAGACCACAATCATTTATTTTAGGTGTACTAGGCCCTCCTTTTGCAGCCAATACAAGCATCAATCCTATGAAGGTAATATGATGCCATAAAGAATCACATGCGACTCCCGCCCTCTTCTTCGCACGTTCGCAAAACTCAATCATTGAGAGAATCGTGCCAAAACTGCAAGCAAAGCTAAAAGATAGACGCAACTGTACAAATCGGGTTATTTCGGGAACTGTTTTGCCCCATGCACACAAGTCATTTAGACATTTGCAACAGTTTTTTTTTTTTTTTTTTTACACAAAGGTTGGTTTTACGCAATCAATCTGTTTTGCAGTTCCTGACTGTGATGTTTTCGGTTGCAAATTGCTGTTCACAGGCCTGCAATGCTTTTGGCCATATTTGTGCGTAAAAAATGTGCCGAGTGTGAGCGGAAAAATGGAAGTCAGAAGAATACAGATCATGTTTATTTTGCCTCAGCATGAAGCTTCAGCTACACAATACATGTATTACACTTACAAATAACAGTAAACTGCTGAAAATATTTTTTTCTTACACTTGAAGGGCGATTTACACCTTTACAAATCTTCTCTTGCACATGCAAATTTAATTTACTCTTGTATTCTTAAGTACACTTTCACAAATCTTTCTTTATGGCATCATATTACCTTCATACAATTAATTTTGGGAATGACAGTTACAAGCCCTGCACACACAGTGGCCAGAGGGATTTTGAGCCATTCCTCCTCCTGAACAGTGGCCAGGTCACTAATGGCACTTTTCCATTACCAGTACCAGCTCGACTCAACTCGGCTTGCTTTTCGCTCCATTATCCACTGCAGACAGTACCGCCACAAATAGTACCCGGGCGTCATAGTGACGCCTTTCGTTCCTCGTTGTCCTATCAAGCTCTGGATCCTCTCTTCGGCAACCAAACAAAGGAAAGTCTGCACCTCCTCGTTTGACCACGGCGTATTCTTCCGAGTTGCCATGATAATAATAGTAGTTAGTTTAGTAACTATCTCTGGCCCAGCCGGACTGATCTATATATCAGTCACCAGACCATGGGAGATGGCTTCAACTTCACTTTTATGTTCATCAAACTCTGTCACCAGTCTTGCTGTGTCTGAAACACAGCACTTCCTTCAGGGTACAATGTTTGAACCATCAGGTGTACATGGTCCTGCAGAATAGTTTGGTAGTCCTTGGCAGTGTTGCGTCCATCAAGCACAGTAGAGAAGGCTATGATATCGCAGTCCAAACCATCACTGCGCAGCAACAGTCTGAGTTTTAAGCCTCTTTGGGGTTTCTCCACATCGTAACTCCCACGGATGTAGGAAAGACAGTGAAGGTGGACTCAGAGAAAATACATGTTTCTTATTGTCCACAGCCCAAGATTTGCACTGTCAGCACCAATGAAATCGACATTTGGCACTGGCACGAGTAAACAAAGGTTTGGTTATAGCAGCCCGACCTTGAATTTGGACTCTGTGGAGCTTCTGACGAACAGGTTTGGTGGAAACAGAAGGGTTGAGGTGCACATTTAATTCTTCAGTGAGTTGGACAGCTGTGGTTTTGTTTATCGGATCCAATCCAGGTTAATTACTGGATATCCCATTCAGACAGCTTCCTCTTGCGTCGACAGTTGACTGTTGGATGTGATTCGTCCTTTGTGGGGGTCTGGGGTTACCCTGGACACCACAGCTCTTGATACTCCACAGGGACTTGCTGTCCTTGGTCACAGATGAGCCAGCAAAACACAATTTGTTCTCTTTTGAACTCTGATATGTCTCCCATTATGGTGTGTGGATTGCAATATTTTATGTACAGCTGTGCAACTGCTCTGCTAATTTAACCTTCACACGACACACGCTCTAACTGATGGAATGTAAAGTCAGTAAAGATCGGCCGCCAGGCCACGCATTCCATATATAGGCACGCAATCTCCAACACTACATTGGCCAGTGTTTCAGTTTCATTGTAATCCCTGTACACAATGCTACAACAGAAACTATCCCCAAACCCCACAGGCAGCCTCACAGCCAATTGTAAAGACCTTTCAGCACACCCACTAAAGATCCCTTAGTTTAGGGAGGGACTGATCACCAGGATGTCAATCATTTCCTCTGTAAATCCTCTTCAGACACTGATCAAGCGAGGCATTAACATGTTACTGAAGGCGTAAATCAATTCTCAGCATTTAAGCGAAGGAACAAAACAGGATTTCAGAGAAAGACATTCTAGACTTATAAGTTCCCATTTAATGCTTGTTATGCTTCTTACCTGAATGTCAGAGTATAAGGAAGAGCCAAACAGCTTCTTATATTCCGTC